AAAAGGACACACATTTCGTTTTGGTACATCATTGCATGAACGCGCAATTATCAGTTGAAATAGTGCAGCACCAAATAGCAAAAAGAGCCCTGGTCATTGAGGGGGGTAAATCCTCTGGATGGCAAGTGGTTAAAAATTGTTGCATTGTGTTTGTGTTTATCCTACAATTATTATTTTGAGCTGTCTGTAATAAATGTCCAGAATGATGCTCCCCCAGCTTGTTTGTTAACCAATATATAAACAATTGTCCAAATATTTGTTTATGTATTTTTCTCAGGTCCTGAATAGGCATCCCTAAGTGTGATTGTATGGACGCCCAGGGCGCAGTCTTTCGGAATAACCCAAGGTCTACGCCATTATGTGCACTGCTAGCGGATTCAAGCCTATTGATTCTCCGTTTGTCACTATCATTTGGGGATTTCACCACCTCTAGGGTATTGACAGTAGAGTTTTTTGTGATCTTATTTTGCCACTAGATGGTGGGTTTTATCATGTTTGTTCCTTTCTATGTGCTATAATGCTCCATTGGTGCCATTGTTTCTAGCTTAATTCCTATTATTTCACAGCCTATATGGCTGTATGGGAATCCTGGGCTGGTTTTATCCACGCATGCGTAGTGATGGCATCCGCGCATGCACAGTGACACATCAGACGTCCGCACCCTGCTAATGACGTCATACGTCGGGCGGGTGGAAGATATGTAAGAGCTGAATAAATTGTGGATGGTCTTTTGGCCATATGGGCTATTCCTAAACACTGAGGGTGTGCTTGATCTTAACATTTCTATGGATCTAGTGCTTGGTAAGGCCAACATTGTTATGCTTTGTTGCTAATATGACTTTTTCCTTATATTCCTTGTGAGCAATTTCTTGTTTTTTTTTTTTTCCTTAATGTGGAGTTTTGGTGAATGAGGGAGACTTCTGACTTCTAGTAATGATCCCCTGATGTTAATGATCTCCCCCCCCCCCTTTTTGTAATTGATTTATATGGATACAAAACCTGCTATGTTTTTTTTTTCTCTGTGAAGACATTTCTGATGGTCATATGTGTATATTATGTTTTGGTAGACACTCGGTCCTTTATGTGCCTTTTGCAATCACATGGATGCCTGGGCATTTGATTCAGAGTTTGTTTGTCATTTTTTAATGAATGATGGTGGCAGCATAGTCCTAAGGGTAAGCGGGGGGCTTATAACTTTCTGGACAATTAATCTTTTTGGAATATAGAAACTCAAATGTTTTAGTCTTATGTATATGGTATAATTATGTCTGATTGATCTAATTCTTTGATACGATTGTAGACTGTATTGTGGATAGCCTGTGTCTTCCCCTGAGGAAGCCCAGGATGGACAAAACATGTAGGGAAGTACCAGGGGCGGACTGGCAACTCATGGGGCCCCCGGGCAATAGGGGATCATGTGGCTTCTGTGTCCTTGCCCAAACTCACAAAAGCCTATGAAAAAGGTACCAGGGGCATCTCATGGGGCCCCCTACTGACCCCGGGCCCTCGGGCAGTGCCCGAGTTTCCAAATGATCAGTCCGCCCCTGGGAGGTACCATCTATGCACCACAGGAAACAGTCAAGCATGCTGTGGTTGTCAAGTTTGTTGTTTCTATTTGTATCTAATGTAACTCTATTGTAATAAATTGGTGAAAAAAACCATTTTTATAAAAAAAATTATTGTTGTTAGCACCTTCAAAATCCCATAATTTACTTTTTTTTTTGTGTGGTCAAAGCTTTAGTTTTTTCAGCTTGCCAGAGCTAAAGTCCAACTATCCAGCATATTTTGTTGATACCCTTGTGATCCAGAAAGCCTTTTTTTTTTTTATTTAGTAGAGCACACATTTGCACAAAATATATTATACAAGGTCAACCTACTCACCCTCAGTTTGAGGAGCTCTGTGGAATCTGGCTGCAGTAGACTACTTGAAGTGGTTGTAAACCCTCACATAAACCCAGTGAAGTGACTGTCCTTGGGTGATACATAGAGATGAAACAAATCCTCCTACATACTTTGTACCTGTTTATCTGCAGTCGTTTTCCCTGTAGAGCCTTCTGCAGCACACAGATCGAAGGATTTTTCTTAGCAGCAGAAATCATGGTGGTTGGGATCTGATGACACACGCATGCACAGCTAATGTAGGTCTGTAGTGTAATTTAGGATCTGGTAGGAGGAGAGAAGGAACACACCTCCTGTACACAGGATCATAGAAAAAAACATATAGAGCTGAGACTATGAGTCCCATGCCACTTGCTGGAATAGGGTGGGCCATCTCCCTGCAGGTTGCTGTGTCTGCTTAGAGTTCTATGAGTGACTCATGCAAATTGCAGAGAGAGGACAAATCAGAGAGGAAACAGACGCTGTGCTTTGGATTCAGGGTCGTACACACTATAGAGGGATGTGCTTTGTTCATTTTTCCTGTCTGAGGTTTGCAATCACTTGAATGAGTGAGCTTTCCGACCTTGCAGTTGCATAATTTCATGGATAACAATCACTGATTATTTTTACTTTTTTTCTGTAATTATTGTTTTATCGTGACATTTTTTAGCATGTTTTTTATTTCAGTGTGCTCATAAACCAATGAACACAGAAACATTGCATTATGATTAAATTATTTTAAAATATGCATGTCTCCTTTTAGCATGTAATCAATTTTGTACATGTGGTTTAACATATTTCTTGTCTGTTTTGCTATTTTATATTAGATCCTGACAGACTACACCATAAATATAACTCTTATAGGATATTCAATAATAATTTGTGGTCTGCTGAATTGACCCTGTCACTACGGCACACATAGCAGACTCAGAATATTCCATACAAGTAGACACTAACCTCTTACAGATTCTGCTGTTGTCCAGCCAAATTGTTATTTGATGTTCCTGTATCCTGATCTGCTATTTTGTTTCACTTCCAGCAATCCTGGAAGTGTCAAGGAATTTCTCTAACTGATAGCCAATAGCAGCTTCCCCTTCCAAAACCATGACATCACCAGTGCTCCTGGCTCAGTGCAGAGGCGGTGAGTGGGAGCAGACCACTATGCACCTATTGAAGGGGGGACATTACAGCACACAGTGGATTTTGGCAATGTGAACAAAGCAGTCATTTAACACTGCAACAACACTTTGCTTTCGTTGATATGTAGTATAGAACTTCCTCACCTTTGGCTCTAGTGTGGAAAGTAGTTTTACTGTACTGAGATCTGCTAGCCATTGTTAAAGTGGTTGCCTGCATTAGGGTAAAAAAGTGTAGGTATACAGTAAGTATCACCCCCCCCCCCACACACACACACTTACCTGTGTCTTCACTCAATCCAGCACAGTGCCCATCTGTATCAGCTCTCCCTGCTCTCGCGGCTTCCTGTGGTGGCACACCGACAAGAGGAGGAGCCCAGAGCACCCCCAGAAAAGGAGGAATGGGGCCACTCTGTCCAATTCTATTGCACAGAGCAGGTAAGTATAAACCTGTTTGTTATTATTTTTAAAAATTTATTTTACAATCACTATATTGACAGCTTCAAAAGAACAAGTCAGGGCGAGGCTCATTTTTTTTTTTAAATAAAGTAAGGAATAATTAAGGCCATTGACAATATTTTAATATATTAAGAGGAGATCTCTCCAGAATGAGGAAATATCTCCTCTTAGACAGCTGTCTCCAGAACAGATTTATGGGACTGCAAGCAGTATGCTATTAAATAACAAAAGACATAATAACTTTTATTTGGATAAATAACTTGGCCACAGTCATTTATTATTGGTATAACTAGCTCACAATAAAATCTTTATTTGAATACAGTAAATCAGCATGAATTTATTAACTATTAAATTTAAATGATCCTAACCACAGCTTAGTCGCTACGACTCAAGCTGTACATAATAAAACAACAACTTATTAACCTTCTCTATATTCTTTCACAATCTTATTCCATTTATATTAAGCTTACTTACTTCTCTCCCTTTAAATTAAAGGTGACCTTACAAAATAATAATTGGCAGCGACAAAAGAGGGGAGGGTGGGAAGGGAGCACCACAGAGATGCCTCCCAGGCGACTAAACCTCTTGAGGATTGGAACCTCCTTTTTATAGACCCCCTAAGCCCTTTTGGTCGCTAATAGGTCACATGAACTTCCAGGTGTAACCCCACGTGGCTAAGGTGCAGTGAGGGGACTTAAAACTCCCCTATTTTCCAGAAGCTTCCCCTTTATCCAAGGGGTAATGGGGGGGGACTTGAAACTTAACAATTATCTAGAAGTTTCTCCTTTAACCTCAGGCACAAGGGGAGACTTAAAATCTGCCGACCTTCTAGAAGTCTCTTCACTTATATATACACTATGTTGCCAAACTATGTTGGGATGCCTGCCTTTACCTGCATGTGAACTTAATGGCTTCCCAGTCCGTAGGGTTCAATATGGAGTTGGCCCACCCTTTGCAGCTATAACAGCTTCAACTCTTATGGGAAGGCTGTCCACAAGGTTTAGGAGTGTGTCTATGGGAATGTTTGACCATTCTTCCAGAAGCGCATTTGTGAGGTCAGGCACCGATGTCGGATGAGAAGGCCTGGCTCACAGTCTCCACTCTAATTCATCCCAAAGGTGTTCTATTGGGTTGAGGTCAGGACTCTGTGTAGGCCAGTCAAGTTCCTCCACCCCAAACTTGCTCATCCATGTCTTTATGGACCTTGCTTTGTGCACTGGTGCGCAGTCATGTTGAACAGAAAGGGGCCATCCGCAAACTGTTCCCACAAAGTTGGGTGCATGAAATTGTCCAAAATGTCTTGGTATGCTGACACCTTAAGAGGCCCCTTTACTTGAACTAAGGGGCCAACCCCAACCCCTGAAAAACAACCCCACACCATAATCCCCCCTCCACCAAACTTTACACTTGGCACAATGCAATCAGGAAAGTACTGTTCTCCTGGCAACTGCCAAACCCAGACATGTCCATCGGATTGTCAGACAGAGAAGCGTGATTCATCACTTCAGAGAACACATTTCCACTGCTCTAGAGTCAAGTGGTGGCGTGCTTTATACCACTGCATCCGACGCTTTGCATTGCACGTGGTGATATAAGGCTTGGATGAAGCTGCTCGGCCATGGAAACCCATTCAATGAAGCTCTCTGTTGTTGTGGTCGTGCTAATCTGAAGGCCACATGAAGTTTTGAAGTCTTTAGCTATTGACTCTGCAGACATTGGTGACTTCAGCATGCGAAGACTCCCGCTCTGTCATTTTACGTGGCCTACCACTTTGTGGCTTTGTTGCTATTGTTCCCATTTGCTTCCACTTTGTTTTAATACCACTAACAGATGACCGTGGAATATTTATTAGCAAGGAAATTTCACAGATGGACTTATTGAACAGGTGGCAGTCTATCACGGTACCACAGTTGAATTCACTGAAATCCTGGGAGTGACCCATTCTTTCACAAATGTTTTTAAAAGCAGTCTGCATGCCTAGGTGCTTGATTTTATACATCTGTGGCCATAGAGGTGATTGGAACACCTGAATCCAATGATTTGAGTGCTGTCTCAATACTTTTGGCAACATAGTGTATATATAATGTGGGGAGACTCAAAACCTGCTCCTGCAACCGTCCCATAAGAAAAGGGGGGCTTAATATTATAATCCCCTTTGCCATTTTTATTCTTTGAAAGGTTTACCCTCACCTCCCATATCTGTGACAATTCAAAAATGCTAGATTTTCCACCAATTTCTATACCACAGTCAATGGTGTTCAGCTGCAATAGTGAGGGTATATCTGCCCAGGGACATAGACAACAATTAGTCTTTCCACATTCTACCCAAAACTAAAATAAAAAATTGCTTTACATATACCTTAACTAATATAATTGTGCAAATGTACATATAAATAACAGTTTATCTGGGATGTGATGCTGTCAGAGGTATTTGCTTGTGAGCCTGAAGGACTGCTGGCCGAAGTTCTGCTGTGGGAAATATATTGCTGACAGCTCCACAAATACTTGCCATTAATCTGACTAATTTTTATCCTTTGAAAATGACAGATATTGTTACAGAAACCAGTAAAGTTAGTACATAGACACCAGTGGCTCCCAGAAGGATACGTATCAGGAGGGAGAATGACAATGAGGAGTTGTTATTAATTGATTAATTCTGCATGTCAATTTCCCTAATGATGGTAATCTACTTCTATGAATGTTATTTGTGCACAAGACTCCTATGTTATTGTACTATAACTATTTAATCCTAGTTAAACTATGCTGGTGATTTCAGTAGGAAAGGAAAAGAAAAGCAAAGAGAAGCAAAGAAAAGAAAAGAAAAGAAAAGAAAAGAAAGAAAGAAAAGAACTGGTTTCTTTGGGCGGCTCCTCTATTTGCCTTTGCTACAGTTAACATATTTCTGTTCAACATCATTTCACACATCTGGATTTTTTCATTGTCTCTCCAATATAAATATTTTAACAGTAATTAATTCTAAAGCATAGTAATTAATTTAAATATACAATGTTTCTGGTGCATTGTACTCTGGTGTTTTTAAGTCTGTTCCTCAATAGGGATAAGTTCAGTGTTCAGTCCGAACATAAGTTAGGACCAAACACTGGCTGTTTGGATGTTCATTCAAACGCTTAATGTTTAGGACAATCTGTGTGAATGAAGCTGACAGCTTCCAGCTGTCAGTGGTTGATAAGGAAGCATCATTGAGGCATCATGGATGTACTGTATGATATAAGACTTTTTTTTGTATGAAGGACTTTCCAAAAACTGCCTTTGTTTTTAATCACACTAAAACAAACCTGTTACTGCCCTGCATTGGGAAAGCACAGGTTTGCTTTAGAAATTGTGCAGTTTTGCATTATGAAAATGTGCATTTCAGATAAAACAGAAGTATATTTGGTTCTATTATAGCCTATTGTGGCTTGAATGGACTTCTAGGGCACATACTTGTTGGACTTGGAGCAATCAGTTGAACAGTTCTGGATTTTTTTAGGAGAAATTATTATGGTACAGAGTCAATTCCATGTCCTTTTTTAAAGTTTACACTTTTAAAAATTGAGCATACAGTATATAAAAGTTAGTCCACTCACAAAGCATTTGTGATATGTTTGCCTACTTTTATTTTCTGACGCAGACAACACCATAGTATCAGCTTCTCCCTACGGCGTATGACCAGTTCAGTTTCACAAGTAGGAAACTAAAGGCTTCATCGGTTATAGGTTCTATGTGTTACAGCTTGGACAGATATTTGCACAGGCCCTTACCTTGTCACTTCATGGCCAGAAAACGTTCTCTCTCTGAAATATGTAAATAGGCATTTATTTTCATGTGACTGGATGATTGCAGTGAATATCTATTTGTAAGCAGGTGCGGTCTCCTTCCTCCACTGCAGGTGACGCTCAACTGCAGCAGCATTGCATGAGGAGAGGAAGTCAGGAGGAAACTGTTCCTCTATGGTTTCCTGGGTCACTGAGAAAGCGATCCAGTTGGATGCTGCCAACCCATGTGACTCTGGTGGCCATCTTGGGTCAGGCAGAGTCTTTTTAAGCGTATAGACAAATGGCAACTACACCAGTCTACAACTGGCCATTGCAGCAGGGCGCACATGGAAGGGAGACACGTGTCAAACAGCAAAAGAGAAAAATATACTATGGAGACTCAAAATTTATAGTTGGGAACTGCAGAATATTGGGGTACCATGTAGAGGCTCTGCAACTTACGCATGTATTTGCAAATGTGTGCAAACAAAATCCCAGTTTTTAACACAAACTGTTAGACAGGACAATTCAGTTGGTTGCAGGCTGGTCGGTAAGTTCAGCTGGGACTTTTCTCTCTGTTGTTGTTTGGTGTGCGTCGCCCTTTCATGTGCTCCTTGCTGCAAAAGCCGGTTAGAAGATTGGGGAAGTTGCCATTTGTTTGTACTGTTGATATACTGGTGAGGGGACTCACTGGACATCTTGGCTGCCATTGTGCTATGTGCTGGGTGTCCCGTGCACCCCGTGCCTTTAAGGAGGGGTGGGCTCCCTCCAGGCTTACTTGCCCTCAGTCTATCCATTATTATACATGTACTTCTACTATGGAGACTCTCAAAATTTATAGAGTTAGGAACTGCAGAATATTGGGGTGCCGTGAAGAGCATCTGCAGCTTACACATGTATTTGCAAATGTGTGCAAACTAAAACCCTGTTTTTAACGCAAACTGTTAGACAGGACAATTCGGTTGGTTGCAGGCTGGTTGGTAAGTTGAGTTGGGACATTTTTCTCTGTAGTTGTTTGACAAGAGTCTTTTTAAAATCCTGGCTCCCGGGTTTGGCACACATTTTTAGTAGTGGATAAGTTAGGGACAGGTCACCTGTCTGTCAGGGAAAGTGACTAGCAGTAGGTAGAGGTTTCAGATGAGTAGGAACAGGCTAGCAACACACCATCCTTCCTGGACTCTTCCCGCTTGGGTGCAGACTGGCCAGGCCACATTCCGCCCTCTGGGCAGATTCTGTCAGCATGCTGAAGACCTGCTCAGCTCTACGTTGCCCAGACATGCTATGAGTGTTCCCAGTCGGGTGTCTTCCCACTGGGTTGTTTGTATTTTTGAACTTTCTCTTTAATACAAGTTCTGTTTATGGCAACTGGATTCTGTATAATCACTGCCACCGCACTACACTGCACCCATCCAAATATTCATTTAGTGAGTGAAGATTCTCAACTCCTTTAATAAATCCTTCTTTAGTAAATCAGCCTTGATGTCTCTTAATAAAACTTCATAGGAAACTTCATATTGAGAGAATGGGAATAAAGGGGATGTGTCCCTGCTCTGGCTTAGTCACATTATATATAAATTTCAGCTTGAAATATTAAACTGTATAAAAAATAGGCTTGTTTAAGGTCTTAGGACCTGAAAAACTTGTGGAAAGAGTTCTTTCTTTTGCATGCTACATATGGAAATGTAAAGTATTTATATAAAAACGTATTATTTACTTCACTTAAAAAAGGAAAAATACATATTTTTTGGTTCTGAGCATGCTAAATAAAAAAAAATAAAATATCTACAAAATTTCTACAAATTCTCTATAAAATTTTTCTCAAAATAGAACCAACTGTGGTGCCATCTAAAAGTCTGGAAAGCATGGGTTATTCATTGTTCTTCAAGAAAAGCTGGTGAAATTATTAACTAAATTATTCTAATATTATAGAATAACTCCAGGGCATTTATACATTTTCACCTCTTTTTGCTTATCTTTATGCTGATTTTTGTTTAAAACAAATGAATATTTTTATTATATAAAGGAAATGTGTACTATGTCTCTGGTTGCTATATGTATTATTATTTTTTTTTTTTTTTGGAATGAGATTCACCCAAACTAGCAGTTTTCAGGCAGATGAGGTGAAGATCTTATGTCTGCAGTGGCAGGCAGATGCCCACCAGTCTAGCACCATCAAGGGAATTACTTTTTGGACAGGTTAGAAAACCAATACTGATTCCTATTTGCCATTTGCCTGAGATGAGAAGACTTCCAGCATTGAGCAGCCGTATGTGTCAGCACTGCTCCACATTCCTTCTTTATTTACATAAAAGCAAAGGTTCTTCAATCCAAATCATACATTCAAGCCATCCATACATGGATTTATTTCTGAAAGAATTTTTGAAAATCTTTTCTAACAATTTTCGTTCGAATTTCGCACTATTATTGGGCCACAGCAATGGCCGATTTTTGAGTGACCATCAAATTTGAGTGATCGGGCATGTTGGAAATTTAAAAAAAAAGAACGAATTTCTAATCAATAATGGGAGAATTGTGCAAGAAATGTAATTTAAAAAGAAATGAGCATGACCTGGAAAGAAAAGAAAATTTCTTGGCCACGAAAATTCTTTTCTGTAGCAACATGAGGTGAAATTAAAGGGTGGGATTGTCGAATTTCGAAATCAATGGTAGCACCATTGGACTACAAATTGCACAAAATTTCCAATTGTCTAAAGAAAATTCATTCAGAATTTGACCCATGTATAGCTTGCATTAGTCACATCACCTGTCCCACCATCTAATAGCCCACCGATTGTGAAGACACATCCAAAACCCTCCTAGATCTCAGGACACTTTCTTGATTAACCATCTCTATATCAAGGGCATGCCAAGTACACCCTGCATGAGCTCAGCTGAGACCACAATACATACATAGTGAGGTTGATTTACTAAAGGCAAGTAGATTGCTCACTTTGCAACGGCAGTTGCACTCTGCAATTATCCCCGGAGCTTAGTGAATTAAATGAAGCTCTGTTGACTTTGATTATCCAATCATTTGCAAGTAAAACATGCCTGTTTTTCTTTATTTTCCTTGCATGTTATTGGGTGATCTTTGCAAAGTAAAGCTTCTCCACATTCACTAAGCCTTGAACTACTGATATTAGGTGCTCGTTCACACTGGAATGTGGTGCGGTAGAGCTGCATTCCCTTGCGGATTCCCACACCACATTCTGATCGCAAT